TAAGTTTAGTGCTGGAAATTGAATTGTTTCCTGAGATGGAATGGGTTTCCTGAAATATAGTAGTCTAAAATATGCTATTATCTACAGAAGCTTGAATACGGTAGGTGGTTCCCAACAGATCAAGTTGGTACCCAATTCGATCTTAGTGGTACGCCGGATTCGATGACTACGTCACATTGAGCGATATATCTGGAAGAAACCTTGATGAAAAAGGCATAGCTGAGGTGGTTAGCCATATAATTGTATAGTTTGTAGAAATGTTTGGTGCCAAATACGGTCGAATGCTTCCGTAGGCAACTATGTCCATATGAACTTTCCATATTATCGATCATTCTTAATTCCTGATCTTTCAAGACGATTAATGAGTTCAATGTTGATGTTAATGACTCTCCCTATCACTTTGAAAATTACTGAGCGTGGTAGACCTCTAGTTGCTGGGCCTTTTCAGATGAGATAAGGTTTTTTTTCCAGTGTCAAGTTGGATGAGTTGAACCTGTATATTTTCATCATTACCTAATCTTTCATGCCTGATTCGTATCCATTCTTGTCTAAAATTTTCAAATCAGCAATCTGAATTATATTTTTATGAACGACTGACCCATACTGACCGATCACGGAACAAAAGGCGAAAAGAATAAAGGATAGTATATCTTTAATTTATTCGCAGAAAGTTCACATTGAACTTTAGAGATAAACTACCGCTGACGTGGACAGTGGAAAATGCTCGTGAAGTTGCAGGGGTGGATCTTTCACTCGCATTCTGACAATTTGGGACAACTCTTTATTCAACCTGAATTTTCTAGTAATGGGATCTTGTGAATTGGATTGGTGATGGGGTTTTCCAGTTATCGAATCCATGTTGTGAATTCTACTGAATACTCCTTCGATTTCAGGCACATAGATAGCGATAGCATGACTAGCAAAGTTGGTAGAATTGATGATTATTTTATTTGTAGAGGCAGGTTGCCTCTATCATCAAACACTGTGAGGGAAAGTGGTGATTCGTGATCCAATTCAATCGAAAATTTCGTTTCAGAGTCATGGGAAATTATATTCTACAACTATCTTCAAATATATTCACCTATCCAGCTGTGATCTAGATTGATACACACATTTCGTCGGTTATTTTCACAATATGGAATGCAAAATATATTTATACCGCATAACTAAAGGTGAGATTGCGATGTGAGCAACGGTCTCGAACATCTTATGCAATGTCTCAATATAGCGTTTAAGCGTCGCAATAACTATCATTTATTCATGTTTATTTATTAGTTTGATTTTCCGTTACTACGAATGAACCAACACATAGTGCCATCTCGCTAGTGCCATCTGCTTCGATCTTTTCATCTGCCATTATATAACCAGGAAGCTGATAAGTGATATATCTGCTTCGTGTCATTATCTCTGTGATTGAGTATGAAGTCTGACCATCGGTTTGACCAACCAGCTGTTTGGGAATATCGGTCACGTTTCAAACCTGCCCACAAAGTTACCACGATAACTTTTGATGGGAGTCGAGTCAGCCATTGGCCATCCTGGCATTACCAGTGTGGTCGAACGAATGACTTGACACATCCTAAATTTTCACGATTATAAGGTATCGTGACGGAGTGCATAGTTCTCATGCCCTCTTTGGAATCATTATGGTAAATAATCGATGGAAAGTGGACAGACTGTATGTGCCTTAACACCTTTAATAATGGGATAATAACATACAGGGTATGCCTCGACAAGCTCACACTATCTTTATATCGAGAATCAGTCGGGAGAAAACCATGAAGATGTGCATGCTTATATTTCAAAATCCGCTCTTTCAATTCAAAATATTTTCGACAATGCAGTATTGCCGCTTCTACCAAAAAGTAGTAGTAACATTGATATTTCGAATAGAATACCCTGTATTTCATCGCATTTTCTAATTTTACTGATTACTGAAGTGCTGATTTTATTGATATATCACAATCAGGGCCTATCGAAACTGATTACAGAGATTAATGGTGTTTACAATCGAGATTTTTCAACTTTAGGATTATTTGTGTCACGGCTTACATGTATCAGTCCCAACCATTGATTCACTATTCACTGATTTTCAATCGGAACAGAAACAGGGTGATTTCGATTAAATATCAGTAAATAGTGAATCAAAGGTTAAGATAGCGACATGTGAGCTGTTTTGGGCCGATAATAAAATAGTTTTGACACGAAAAATTCCTAAAGTTGAAAAATCATGATTTTGAACACCCTTCTTCAGAGAGAATCTGGAAATGCAAAAAAATACAGGATATTATATATGTTGAATAACAAAGTTGTTGCTCCTTTTTGATGAGAGCGGTAACACTGCATTGTCGAAAATATTGTAATGATATTTCCCTGAACGGGGCACTAGAATCATCAGCAGGAAGGCAGGAGTACAACAATCATCCTGTAACAGGCATCCCAGATCGTTCTTCAACCTCCCAATGATTCCTACATGCACCAGCATATTTCCGAACACTCAATATATGCCGCAGTGACAAATAACGTCACAGAAGATTCTGGAATGTTCTGGAAACAATCGATGGAACAATTAGAGAGAGAGAAGTTTTGTTCTAAGAAGCTTCTAGAACAAAAAGAAGGAGACGGAAGATCATTCGAGAACGTTCTCGAACCAAAGCCTGCCAAGTGATCTCATATATAAACGACCGAACAACTGCAGTCAGTTAGTTAAGCAGCGAGTGTCAGAGAGACAGTTATATACCGCGTGATATAAATCGTATTACATAAATAGTAGTTATAAGTTCGATATAAATTAGTGTTACTTTAGTTTAAATGAATCAGTTCGAAAATAAATATAGTGTCGTGTTCGCTTCTGCACACGAATAACGTAACAATATTTTAAATGAAGAGAGCGAATTCGAAGATATATATAAGCATCCATATTTTGCATGGGTTTCTTCTGACTGATTCTCGATATAGCGATAGTGTGAGCTCGTTACGTTACGAAAGTCTGGTTATCAACTGTTCCTCCTCTACGAATAGAGAGAAACTCAAAGTCATCATAACATGAGTTCATAAAATGAACGAAAATGGTATATAACGTGAGAAAAACAACTTATTTCCTGACTATATGCCACGCAGATCATTGGATTACATCCTTGCGAAATCAATGCAATAATCCGTATAGGCGAATAAAATCGCAAGTGTTTCTTTCCTAAACACCGCTCCTCAGTGGTTAAGGAACGCGTGACTACCTGCTGACTGGTTTCGAGTTGTTGGCTCTCATTAGTACAGGGCTGTCCCAGATAGCTTCTTGACCGCTATCTGGTGTGAACCATTTCCGCTCATTTCATGAACTCATGTGGTAATGACTTTGAGTTTATCTCTATTTGTAACCAATGCATTCCACTTTGAGTATGTGGCTTTTTCCTAGTTGTTCCTTCTCTATTCGGCTCGTGACGCACTACCCTAATACACTGAACGAATCTCATGTTGCCACGTTGCTACCGGAATTATGTGACATTATATATTTCCTAACAGTCCTCCTCCCTTCTGAATCCGTCTCTGACTCGCTCCTGATGTGAATAACCGACACGTTTCTCTGGCAATGTATTTTTCACGTAATGTGAAAGGTGTCACCCGAAATCCGGAACGGTATATGTGGCACTGAAGGAGTATCAGACGGCCTGTCACATAATAGATTATGAGAAAAATTGTCATCGCGTAACAATCAGCCATTCGCCGTTACGTCATGAACGTTGGAAAAATGTTCTGGACTGGAGATTTTGGTAACTGATATATTTCCAATTACATCTTCTCTCAACAACAGAAAGTGTATTCGGTTCGCTGAATAATGTTTCATTATTACACAAGTTTTTCACAGTATCATGTAACCAACACAATGAAAAAAAAATCATGATATTTTATGTAAATTCACAAATTGTAGAGAATTTTTTCGATGTCAGGCGTGTATACAAGGAAGCCTTCCTTCCTACAAGTGGGAATATTGTTGAGGTTCAACAGAGATTGGAATTTCGAAATTTCAGGAGTTCCAAAAGGCAACGGGATGATAAAGTGAAGTTTTGGAGACTCTGGTTGAATGATCAAATATTATTATCTGTCAGAAAGTTATGTTCTGAGTTGTTCAAATAGTCTCGCTCAGTTGCGATATACAGGGTGGGGCATTAGTGCGTCGGAGCTCGATTGCTCGAGATCAATGATAGCTAGAAACTTGATTCAGAAACGAATGTGAATGAGACAACACGGTCCATAACTAAAAATTCTTGCTGGATTCACAGGGAGCACCGGAAAGAATCTAGAGGGTCAGGATCACTTATTTCGAATGGAATGCCCTGTGTATTATAGCACATTTGTTGGAGCATTTCTGTGACCTTCAGCAACTTCAATAATATTGTTGACTATATCTCGATCATTTCAAAGTTATTAATTTCTTTGTCAAAATGATGTCATCTGCAGATGCATACCGAAAAAATAACTGTGACAATTATGAAATTCAAGGAACGATAATCATAATATCCTCTGATGGAAAGTTGCCTGATATTCCTGTAGAATTTTCATGGTGGCTAAAAATGATTTTTCAATTCAGAACTTTTGGAAGTGATTCTTCTCGAGCACCCCGTATATTTTTAGGCCATTCGGTGTGAAATCGAAACACGATCATCAATCCATATTGGTTTTCGTAACCATTTTTGGATTATTGAATTTTTTTTGAAATTTTAGGTTGTCGTTTTTATCGATACATATTCTCATACATCAAAAGTGCAATTATCAATTTATTAAACTTGTTTTTTTATTGAAAGAATCTATATCAAAATCGAAACGAACAGAAATATTCCATAATATGCAACATGCTACAACAAAATTCTCATTTCGCATAGGGGAGGTGTGGATATGATGGCACTTTTTCACAAGACACATCAAGATTATCATTGTTGATATATATATGGATTTATAATTGCATGGAAACACATGTCGGCAAATGGAATGTTTGGTTTTTTCACTCTTATCTGCACAAGCAGCATGGGCCCACAAACTACATAGCTGACATTTGAGCCACAGCTCCTTGGATTTCGACCAAGAGTAGAACTCGTTACAGTACAAGCATGCAACATCTTCAGCATCGTCATCTTGCTCATGGTTTATTTGGGTACATTCCACATCTGGTTCATCAGTTGCTTCAAGTTTTCTGTTAGCTGCTCTCGCCAATTTCTCTCTCTCTTTCTGTCGCTTAACATTTTCCACAGACTTTTCCTCTTCAATATCAGGTGTTGAATTGATGACGCCCATTTTCCCTTTCTTTCTTGGTTTTCTTCGTTTTGTTGATAGCTCAGACACTGTGGGTAATGGAGATATTTGCTGAATGCTAACCGACAGCTTAGGAATTCCTGCTGGTTTGCCTTGGTCAAACATTTTTGAAGTACTAGGTTCATCAACAGATGCATCAGAATTGTAATAGTTGGTGATCGGTGTTTTTTTGACTCCACCAAATTATCAGCTGCATTTTCTTCAACAAGAGCTCGGTTAGTTGTTTCTGCAGGAGCGAACATCCAGTCCTCCAATATATCTGGATTATATGTAACAATTTCAGTTTTCTGGAATGCCTTAATAGCAGTTGATGGTAGTGCTGCTTTGAGATATGCCTCACCAAAAATTTGGGCCATATGCATGTGTGTTACTACTCTACCAGGATGTACCATCAAATCAAAAGAGCAACACTGTGGATATCGTAAAATATTTTTCTCGAACATTAACGCACTCGCTTCGCTCGCACGTTAAAATATCTCGATCATTAATCGTCCTCATTAATACACTAGTTGGTTGAATAACTATTTCTCAACCTAGAATTATCAATGAGATTAAATGGTAGTTGAGTATTAGTATACTTATCACATGTGACTATGATAAATGAACAATATATATGGATGCAACTATAAATTGGTGCAATAAATCAGTGAAAAGAAATGTTTTTACTTACAAATAATCACAACAAACTCGTGCGGCGGCTAAACGGGCCCCAACCATACGCAATTGTTACAGTAGCGCTATGATACATATTTGAATCGCGGGCAACTGTCGAACTATCCTTATTCGAATAAACGCCGTTAAAAATGCAATGGTACCATCATATCAGGTATGCCATCATTTCCACACTTCCCCTAATTGTAAATTATTATCCTAGTTCTGTTCTTGATGTGCTTTGGATTCAAGGGATATTTTTCTTTGTGAATTACTAACATATTAATTATTCCTGATATTCGCTTCAATTCTGGTTTCAATTCTTCCAATAAGAGAATAAGTTCACCAAATTCATTATTGGACTTTTGATGTTTTGATAAATGATGAGAATGTGTATCGATAAAAATAGACAACCTCTAATGTTCGAAGGTCACTAATTCAAAAATGGATACGAGTATCAATATGGATGTTGAGATGAAATATGTTCGTGTTTTGGTTTTACACCAAATGATTCAAAAATATATGGGGTGTTCCATTCGAAAAAATCGAGAAAAATCACAAAAGTTCCGAATTGAAAAATCATTTTAAGCCACCCTGTATAATTTGAGAGCATGAAAACTCATCAGAAATATAACACAATATGTTTCCATCAGGAGATATTATATGATCATTCTCTCTTCAATTTCATAATTGCGACTACAGTTATTTTTTCGGTATGCATCTGAAGATGACATTATTTCGACAAAAAAATAATAACTTCGAAATTATCGAGATATATTCAATAATATCATAGAAGTAGATGGGTGTCACAGGTATGCTCTAAAAAATGTGCTAATATATAGGGCATGCCATTTAAAAATAGTGTTCCTGATCCTCCAGATTTTTTTCTGGTGCCCCCTGTGTATGCGGCAATAATTTTTATTCATGGACCTTGTTGTCTCATTCTTATTTGTTTCAGAATCAAGTTTCTAGCTATCATAGAACTCGAACAATCGAACTTCGACGCGCTAATGCCTCACCCTGTATAACATTATACATAATATACCGATCGATCTCCATCTTCGTCTCATCAATCGTGTTTTTCATCCCTTCAACTGATGAAATGTCACCAGCATACAGAACGTGGCACCTATTCATTATTTTCGCACGTGAAATCCTCGTCTCCATACTAAGCCGATCCAGTCGGCCCATAATTTCCCGAAATCCATCTCCATTTCTATCCATCATTCCCCTTTTCCTGGCTAAGTCTCTAAATCATCTCCAAGATGAATTACTGAGGATCTCGAGCAAATTGGTAGTGATCCAATCCAGGCCATCTGATTTCATGCGAAGTGTAGGTGCTTATGTCGCTCACCATAAATTATGCTGAAACAGACATTACGACGTCTTATCTGAGACACTTCAACTGATGCATATGACGAACATGGAATTTTGATGGGGGATTCGGGAGGGAGTCTCGTTTCCTGTCCTGAGTGGGTTTCCACTCGGAAAGTTTTGTAAACCGAGCATACATGAGCAAGATGTGCATTAAATATGAAGATGTAAATAGGTGACAATGTATCTGCGATCCTTACAACTCATACTATACCACGTACTGTGGAATAGCTCTATAACTTCGTTACAATAAGAGATAGAGAAGATCTTTCCGGGGAAATAGTACAATATCGTGAGATTCACATATCAGAACTATTCAGATTTTCACAGGATGTTTTCGAACGCTAGGTTACAGGAATTATCATAATATAATTTCCACCAAAGGAACACCACATAATATTATGTTTTGTTCTTTATTTGTCTCACTCATGTTCAATTTTCGAGAATCTTTCGCGAAATCGCCAAGTAAATTCGAACCAATAATTTCTAGAAATTATCATACAGAGATAATGTTGATTTCAAAATACCTGCTGATTTTTGTTTCTAGAATTTTCATACAAGAGTACGCATCAATTTTCTTGATACTCTGATTATTATTGCTTCGATGAAGTCATATAATTCAGAGCAATCTCACAGGAATATTTACAATGCTTTCAAATGAATCACGCTATATTTTCAGTCGAAACACTGAGAAAAAAATCGATTAACTATTATCCAGTATATAATAATCTCTATAATAATTATTTATACATTAGGGTAGTAAACAATATCATTATTACCCAGAGACCAAGATTATATCCTAAGGCTTCAGCCGAGAGGTATAAGATGTGGTAATGGGCTTATATCACAAAAAAATTTCATTTCATAATTCGATAGAACTCACCCAAAATAGCTCACTATCGCAAACCGTTTCTTTCTGTGAGCTCCCTACGTTTTATAAAAAATTATTGAAATCCCCGATTTTTCGGACCTCTGAAAACGAGGCGATGATGTGACGTCAAAACCCTAATACTGAAACAAGACTATTCCAGACAGAGATGAATGATACATACATGATTTCTCACAAAGCACCAAGATTGGTGAATCGACAAGTTGATTTTTGGGACATAGATGATAAGAACAAGAAGAAGATCAATTCTAACCTATATTAAGTTTCTGCAACTTTCGAATATTAAATTGAAATATTTCGACAAAAGTATGATTGAGAAATGTTCTGTGCCTAATTGCAATTAAAAAAACATCATTTAGCTGGGAATTTTGAGAACAAATCTCGCCCCTTACTGGGTAAACACAATATTATAGTAGTAGTTTTGCTTTGCAGAAATTCATATGGAAATTGCTTGAAGAATGAATGATCCATCTATCCATCTCCTAGAAGAACATTCAGGGGGAGATGCAAGCAGTATCTAGTCTTGGGAATAACATTGTTTCATACCAATCAATCATATTGTTGCATAGGTGAACATATTATATCGATCAGTGACTGATTTAATGAGGATTCTCCCTCGGAATCTCCATATGATGGGTATTCTGATGTTAAATATCCTTTCAGGTGAACAATTTTCCAATGCAACTATAATAATAATAAGGTACAAGCAATGAAAATTGAATGAATATTGTGGAACTTACCTTTCAGATTTTCTATTCCTCATTTCAGCACTGAGGAACTGTGGAGATTTTCTAGTATGTTAGAGACATAAAAATAATTGACCATTTCCAAATCAATTTTTGGTGGATTATTTGATGAGCCTTCTACAAATCCTGATTCAACGTTCATGTTTATATTCAATATATCAATAATATATAAAGCAAGATTTGGAGGTTAATTTCATTACGTGTCTTCTCTTCTCATTTAAGACGACATTAATAACTTCGGAATCGGAATTCGAGACTCGATGCAAATGCAGCTCCATGTGAAACGGCCGAAACGGGTCAACAAAGCAATGTTGCTGCGTTCATGAAATATATTGGATTATTGTGAAATTGTCATGGTGCAAATGGTTTTGAGATTGAGACATTTCGTTGTTTAGAGATTGTTTATATTCTAATGATTCAACCTATCATCGACAAGTTGAATATATTTTTCTGCAGTAGAAGTAGTTGATATCAAAAGATATTTCAATATCGATTTCGATCTCTCGGATATTTTGTTTAGATGATATGGCAACAGTGATAAGTGTCACACATGGGTCACTCCAAGGTGGATAGATCTATCCACCTTTGGTAACTCTATGGGTCACGCTCATTGGTTCCAGGCGAGATGAGGTTTCTACGTCATGAAGAGGGTCCGTTTTCAGCAGGTACTATTATTTATGTCCAAAAATAAAACATTCCAGTTAATTTTTAGATGGAATTATGTCGTCAATCGTTATTTATGTATAAAAGGATCATTATAAACATGGTTTGAGTTGAAAGTTCTACTAAGGTGTACACGCCCATTCTACTACCAAGGTGTATATTTTTTTTTCAGTACTAGCGATACATTTCAATCATTCTAGTTCTGTGGAACTGAAATATGAACGTAAGGTCACTGTGAAAGCAGTTCTTTACAATTCAAATTGAAATCTAGTAGTCATGACCATGACAGTATATGACAAATCCCCAGGCAAACCAGATGACGAATGATCACGTTACTGTGACGTCCCTAATTGGTGATTTTGCGTCAGAGACGTCACACACAAACTTATGACGTTACTATGACGTACTTTCTATGACTTGATAATCACGTCATTGTTTCGACGTCGAGTGAACGTCACTTAGAAGGGTAAGAGAAGACGTCAATTCCATGACGTTGCAGGGACGTCCTGTCGACGTCCATTTTTCCCAGACCTTCTCTTAACCATAGATACATATATATCATCATGTGAAACAGAAGTATAACTCATGAAAGCAAATCAACATGCAAGTTTTATTGGCATTATTAATATACGCGGGAAGAAGAAGAAAACTTTTTTCTAAAAAACTTTGACACACTGTATATCTCGGAAACCAACAAGCTATGTATATATACAAATTAGGTATACCTACCTATATTGAAACCGTTACTCTTATGACGTTGCAGTATCTATGATGTCTAAAAA